TTGAACTCAAAATGAGTCCAAAGTCTACAGGGCTAGGTTTAGGACTAGAGTTCATGCTAAAAGGGAGAGCCTGCAAGAGCTGGCACATAATTTGGAAAGTATGGCGCACACAAGGCCTACCCTACTGCACCACTCGATGTCCTCAAGCTGTTGCTGAGGGATCAGTTTGTAGATGCCTTGGAGAGTCCACAACTAAAGATACAAGTAAAGCAAGCACACCCCTCTACTATGCAGGATGCAGTGGCCAGAGCTCTTGAATTCGAATCCTACGTTAAGTCCAACACAGAGGTACCGAGGTTGGTACAGTCGCTCAGGATTCAAGGCCAGAAAAAGGCAGCTTTCAGAGAAGTTTGAGGGACTTTGCTGGCACTGTAACAAACCTGGGCACAAGAGAGCTCTATGCCAGCAACAACAACACAGGAAAGATCCATGGCAGGAAAGGCTGTTACCAAAAAAGGTTGTAGGAACTGTGGAGAGCAAAAACATATGAAGAGACAGTGTAAGAAGAATACTACCAATATGTCAGCTTTGGAAAACCAGTAGTGGTTGGTGTTGAGGGATGCCCACCAACCCCTATTGAGAAAGTCCCAACAGCTAGGTGTAAAATGGGAAGCACACATAGTGTCTACATGAGAGGAAAGCTGGATGCCCAAAAGTGCAACTTTGTTTTAGATTCTGCGTCTCAGCAAACCCTTGTGAGTATCAAGGTGCTAGATCACAAAGAAGTACCAGAAGCCATACAGAAGCTCTGTGGTGTCACAGGACATTATGCAAGGTTGTGGGGACCAGTGTAGGTAACTATTGAGCTCATGAGCATAAAGGACAGACACAAAGTATACTTGGCTGACATTGAAGACCAATGCATACCAGGGTTGGACTACTTACTACCGAGGAAGTGTGTAATTAATTTTGATAAAATGATGTTTGGGAACAACAAAGGCCAAATTCCAGTAAGTGTTAAAAGATAGGTTTTACTAACCAGGTGCCATCAAGCTGAAGTCAAAGTGACTCAAGGAGTTGATGATTGTGATGTGGAGCCAGGTATAGATATTAAAGCAGAGCAGGAGAAAGACCAAGATTTGAAGCCAATAATTGATTTTCTACACAGCAAGTGTTTTGCGCCCTGCTTGGGAGAAGGTGTCTAGATTAAGCCTTGTGACAAAAACTATTGGGCACAATGGGACCAGTTGAAGCTTGAAGATGGTATTATTCTCCGGAGGTGAGAAACTGCAGATGGGAAAGTGACGACCTGGCAAACAGTTATACCGAGAAAGTTACAGGAAATTGTGCTGCATCAATCCCATAATAGTTTAACAGGAGCACATCTTGGAGTTAAGAAAACATTGAGTTTTCAAGTGTCAGTGTGATGGTGTCCATCAAACATAAAGGATTGTATATATATCAGTGTTCTCACTGTCTAACAACAGTTAGTTTTCATATATCAGTGTTGGTCCATTTCCCTTTCTAACAAGAGTTTTCACATATCATTGTTGGTCCATTTCCCTGTCTAACAACAGTTTTCACACATCATTGTTGGCCTTACTGTCTGTCTAAGAACAGTTAGTTTTCACATGTCAGTCTTGGCCTATCTGTCTAATAACAATTACTTTCATATATCATTGTTGGTCCATTTCCCTGTCTAAAAACAGCTAGTTTTCACATGTCATTGTTCATCCATTTCTATGTCTAACAACAATTAGTTTTCACATAACATTGTTGGTCCATTTCCCTGTCTAACAACAGTTTTCACACATCATTCAGATAATACTTGCAATGCTCTTAAGATTCTAGCTTTATACTAGTGATCTCCATGGTGATTATTTATTAATTTCAACTAAATCTTGATTGATCACAACGATTAAAAATCTAAATCATTTCGAAGCTTAAAGTTCAAAACTCTCTTATCACAAAACTTAAAAAATATTTGCATAAAGCAAATCTTAAACCCTCCTAGTAGTTTAGAAAAACCTTCCATGTTCAATCAAAACATTAATACTCACAAAATTCAAGCACTGTCTCTGTCTGCACTTCTGCCGAATTTTATTTGGACCACCAAACTTTTTCATGTCCTGAAAGATAACGATATCTACATAATTTTGTATGGATCAAATCCCTAAAATAATATTAACCAACTACTTGAAAATGATTTAGCTTAATCTTTTGGGTATCTTAAATACTTTTATAGTGCACTAGCCACAGAGCTATTATCATCTACATAAAAGAAATCTTTAGCTCATGCATTCAGTCCAAATTCATAAATATAATATTCGTGAAACATAAATCAGTAATATTGATTCTCAATAAACTTATTTTTATTGGAAAATACTTAAAATTTTAATTTAACAATAACAAACTACCATAGAAAATACATTTATTATTTAAAACAAAAGTTTACATTCTGAGGTCTAACTTGTTTCATGATGTTAAAATATTTGATAAATGACCAGAACTAAAACAGTACAGTTTTGTTCTTTTCCCTTGGTATCTTGATACACCTAATTCTTGTTAATTTCTTTTCACAGTTTACTAATAAAACTAATTACCTATTACTTTTTCTTTTATTCTTTCTCAAAGTTTAAGTTCACGTTTCTTAATATGACTACTTTGTTATATTTAATTAGGTCTGGGAAAACTTCCCGTGTGTTTAAGTTGATTAAAAGTTGACTAATTATGTGATGATGAAAGTACGTACAGAAATTATCAACTTCACATGGTCCTGTAAGCTAAGAATTCTATGTACAGTCACTCTGCCATATTCACTTGTATCTGGACAGAGACCTCCCATATTTAAATCACACTTAATTAAAAGTTGACTAGTTATGTGATGATGAAAGTACGTACAGGAATTATTATCATTAAACCCTACACTATATTATCGCACTACTAAGGGTACAGTTCACACATAAAACAACAAATTTTATTTTATTAAACCCTGCAGTATATCAACAAACTTTTAAAGGTACAATTCATGCATAAAACAAATTTTAACTTTAGCTAACCCTATGCTAAATTATCACACTTCTAAGGTTCATTTCGCACGTAACACGACAAATTTAATTATTATTAAACCCCACACTATACTATCACATGTCTAAATGTACAGTTCACACATAAAACAAGTGGTTTAATTTTCATCCAACTCTACACTATACTATCACATGCCTAAATGTACAGTTCACCCATAACATAAGTAGTTTAATTTTCATCCAACACAACACTATACTATCACATGCCTAAATGTACAGTTCACCCATGACATAAGTTGTTTAATTTTCATCCAACACAACACTATACTATCACATGCCTAAATGTACAGTTCACCCATAACATAAGTGGTTTAATTTTCATTCAACCATATACTATATTATCATAAAAGTACTATTTACATTAAAAGATTTAATATTTCACTTTTATTCAACTCTTTGCTATAGATACAATTCACTTACTAAACTTATATTATAGCAATTGTAACTGTATTACAAGATGAAAATGTCTAGTTACATAATAATAGTATAGTAAATTTGGATTTCTATACGGGCTCTGGGAAAATGTCTTTGTACAGTAGACTGATTATAGAAAGCATGCCGAGAGGAGTGGTATGCTTTGGACATGACAGCCTTACAATGGAGCCTTTTGCAATGGAAAATACCCTGCAGTGCTATTGGCAAGATATAATGTCATCAGATGAAGTACGACAGGATATGCCAGCATGCATTTAATGATGTAATATAGTTCCAAAATCACTTTAACATACATCTTTGTAGTACCAAATTCTTATACTCAAACATTTTTACCTTGCAGAAGTCGCAACGTCCACAGTCTTCTGTTCTGTAACAATTGATACATTCCCCGCAACGACGTGTTGACTTTTTAGTCTGGAGAAAATAAATTTTTACCAATTTAATTATGTGATAGCTTCTAACTGAAGAGCTACTAAAAATACTTAATAAAAATTACAATTACTAATAATTGTGAGTGACAGGCAAACCATAAAAGGTCTCTACGACCACTCTGTCTTAGGCCATTAGTTGGGAATCTTGACTGTTAACAGTCGTAAAAGGGAGATGAAAACCTACTCTATCCTCAAGGTTTTCATTACAAGCAGGGAATTATTAAAACAAATATTACATGACACATTTATCTAACTATAAACTGCTATTAACTAAACTAATAGTGTCACTGTTGCCTACTTACACTTTTCTCACCATCATCCTTCTTTACATCTTTATGCTTGTTCTTCTTGTCCTTTTTTTCTTTCTCTTTGAATTTTATTTCCAAGCTGGAATCTTTTTCTTTATGACAATAAGTAATACATCACTAAATGAAACCTACCATAACACACATTTCGCTTTTATGATATTACTTATCTGACCTTATAATAATAAGTAATATATCATCAAATGAAACCTACTGTAACACACATTTCACTTATCTGACCAAATTTTTAATTAATAAATTACCAGACATTTATTAATACATAAAGAGTTGTTGATGAATGCTGCCTATATAGAATATATGAAAAGTACAATATATGGTCTAGCATCTATTAAAAAATATATATATGAAAAGTACAATATATGAGCTACATCTGATAAAAAATATCTATATATATGAAAAATACAATATATAGGCTAGCATCTATTAAAATATATGTGAAAAGTACAATATATAAGCTAGCATCTATTAAAAATATATATATATACATGAAAAGTACAATATATCGGCTAGCATCTATTAAAAATATATATATACATGAAAAGTACAATATATCGGCTAGCATCTATTAAAAATATATATATGAAAGTACAATATATGAGCTAGGATCTGTTAAATATATATATGAAAAATACAATATATGGACTAGCATCTATTAAAATATATATATGAAAGTACAATATATGAGCCAGCATCTATTTAAAAAAATATATATATGAAAAGTACAATATACAGAATAGTGTCTATTAAAACAGATGGAAAGTAAAACACATGCTGATATAATCTTTAACTTTAATGATTTATTAACATGTTAAATAATAACAGCGCTTACCTCTACAAAGTAAACAGAAGAATTGCAGTATGTTTTTAGCATATTCCTCTGTAATACTGATACAATCTCCATGGTACCATTCATTGCATTTGTCACAACCACTATGACGAAAAACATGTACACCATCAATTATAAAAATAATAAACACTTCACTGAAAAACAACAGAAAATCAAGTATTGTCAGTCTTTTTCCTTTAAGAGTAAGTAGGTTAAACTATTTTTGAAACAAGCCCTGGTAAAAAAAATAAAATACTGATAAAGAAACATTGTACTGATAGTTCATTAATAATACAACTGACTTAAAAAACAAAAACCAAAGCATTTCTTGTAGAAACCACGAGTACTGATATTTCATTGACCCCTTCTCTGGTTTGTTTGAAATAACTCAGGCACCATCCATGTTTTGAAAACTATTTGCCTGAGTTAACTTGTTGAAAATCATTTCTCTCTGTTTATTTATTCATACGTTACTATGCATTTCAATCAGTGTTTGCCAAATGATATTAGAAATATGCATCTTCAACACTGGAGTAAAGCATTCCCCTTCTTTAATGTAGTTTCATTGAAATAACATATATATCTCATACAAATCCATTTAGTTATAATATTGTTACGTCTCTGGTCGTTTGTTAATTTCCCATAAAAATTCTTTCCGAAGAACTTCAGGGATACAAGTCCTTTCTTAAATAAAACGAGTTTATTCTCTCTCAATACAACTTTGCAATACACTTCATTTCCACACGCTATAATTCACAACGATTCACGCACTTTACTTACGACTTGACTCGATTATCTATCTCTATCTCCCTCTATCTGCAATTCTCTATGCCGTCACTTCTATTCTCCGCTTTATTTGCCGGGCTTATATATACAAAAATAGAGGGCGTCTGGCAAACA